AGGGGGAACCAGAGCTCACTGGAGAAGTAGTTGATTCTAGGACTAGGGCAGGAAAAACACAAGATGAGTCTGAAATACCTTGTGCCGCAGAAAACGGAAGGTGTGTGCTCAAAAGAAGAAGGGGGCAAGTCAGAGGACACCGGATCCAACCCGGAGGAGCGCCCACGGGCCAATGCTAGAACAGTTCGAGCAACAAAGGAAGTGACAGGACTGAATTATAATCTATAACAAAATACAGAATTATCATTAGGTAAACACCACAGTAAGAACTGTGCAGGTAAAATCCACTGATGGATGACAAAATAGGCAAAAGTTTGAGGAGAAATAGGATATTAGCAAAGTCTCGCTCCTAAGACCGTAATTAATTACAAAGGGCAGAAAAGCGACTCTTCACAGAAGAAATCTGGTAGACACCATGTTAACCAAATAATCAAGGATACTCATCACCAGTAATGAGACATACTGACATCACGTACCTCCTGATACTAGGAACTGAGAAGGATACAACATCACCTCTGTGGGTACTTTTGTCAAATATGCATACCTTCAGTGTAATCATGAGAAAACATCAGAAAAAAACAAACTGAGGGACATTATGCAAAGTGACTGAGCAGAACTATCCACACCATCAAGGTCACGAAAGGTAAGAGAAGACGGAGCGAAAGTCACAGGCTGGAGGAGAATAAGGAGACATAGCGGTTAAATGCAAAGTGGAATCCTGGACAGGACTAGGGAGCAGAATAAAGAACACCAGGAGAAAAAAACCCGTAAAAATTACATAAGGTCTGTAATTTAGGGGACAGTATTCACTCACATTAATTTTCTAGTTTTGGTAGTTGTAATATAGTTACATGTGTTGTTAACATTAGAGGAACCTGGATGAAGGGTTTACATAAACTATTTCTACCGTTTCTCCAACTTTCCTGGTAAGTCTAAAATTATTTTAAAAGAAAATGTACAACAAAAAATAGCAAAGTGGCACAGATTCAAATATCTTCTGCCCACCCCAACCAAAACTGTTTCTTCCATAACACCGTCCTTGTCTTTCTCCTCTGTATTTTTCCTCCCGTTTACTGCTGCCTAAAGTAGCAAGCATTTTACTTATTTATCTGCTTGTCTTATTTGATTTGCTTATTTCTCTGATTATCTGATTACTTATTATCTGATAACTTATTTACTTATTTATCTGGTTGTATTTACTTATTTATCTGATTATCTCCCCCACCAAAAAAATAAGCCCTATGAAGACAGGCATTTTTACCTATTTTGCCCATCATTGTATCTACTACCTAATGTGCTACTTCTAACAAGTTCCCATTTCCACTCTAGAGCATTTCATTCACCTTCTCATCACATTTACTGAGTAACTACTAAGTACCAGACATTGAACGAGGCATTAAGGGGATGCAGATAAGCAAGATATGACCCCCCCCCCTCAAGGAAGTTACACTCGAGAGGGAGACAGATAACATTTGAACAAGTATGTACAGGCTGGAAGAGGACAGGAGTCCCACCAAATTAAGCATGAAAAGCTGTGGGCATTTAGAGGAGGGAGGCCTATGCCGGGTGAGAAGTAAAAGAAAAAGTTTCATACAAGTTCTCAAACTCAGCAAGGCCTCTGAATACTTAGGATTTGGATAAGCAAAAAGCAAAGGGGTGAGGGACTGATGTACTGGGAAGAGAGAACCAGGTAAGCAAATCTGAACTCCAACCATGCAGGAAAGAAGCAGCAAAAGGCACAGAGATCATGCTGGTTGGCTGGCGCACTGGCTGGGGAAAAGGAAAAAGAAAAAAAAAAAAAAAAGGAAAAGACTGGAACAGCACATAGGGGTAGGCTGTGCATGGTCTAGTGTTCCAATCCAAGGACTCCGGGCTCTGTCTCGTGGCGACAGGGCACTGCCCTCAGGTAGTCTGGAAGAGGAGGAAGATGTTCCAAGAGCTCTGCTCTACAAAAATTCTTCATGGCAGGGGCGCCTGGGTGGCTCAGTGGGTTAAGCCTCTGCCTTCGGCTCAGGTCATGATCTCAGGGTCCTGGGATCGAGCCCCGCATCGGGCTCTCTGCTCAGCAGTGAGCCTGCTTCCTCCTCTCTCTGTCTGCCTCTCTGCCTACTTGTGATCTCTCTCTCTCTCTGTCAGATAAATAAAATTTAAAAAAAAAAAAAAAAAATTCTTCATGGCATTTTAGAAGATGGAAGTCAAGACTCTTAAGAATTACAAGAGATCTTTGGGGTCATCCTCTATGACTTTCTACAATAGGAATCCTTTCAACCTCTTTTCCGACGTTATGGATGAGTCCCTCTGCCATCTGGTGCTCTTCTCACATTTACCATCAGGTACTGAACTAACACCTGTCCTGGTTCAACTTCTACCCACTGTCCTCTGGCCTACAACGCACTGCTTAGTTCCTCCTTTACAGAATCATCCTTACAGTAGCTGAACACAGTTTCTCTATTTTCCTGAAGCCCTCTCTTCTCAAGCTATACGTCCTCTCTTCCTCACTGTGCTTGAATTACAAGTTCTTTCCAGTAACGTCACCCACTTCTGCAAACAGCTTGGTTTACTGACGTGATGCTCGCCACATTGCTCCCGTATCCGACGGTGCTCTTCCGGACGCCTGTTTCAGGCTCGTTAAACATCCCTACATTCTCGCTCCGTGCAGGGAGTCTTCTGACTTTACTTCTTTCTTAAGTGAAACCCAGCTCTCCCCTTAGGACTCTAACTCCCCCAGAGCCTTCGGAAGTTAGACGCTGCTCATCCTTTCACATTCCGGACTTCAGGGTCTGGAGGTGGGGTTGGTGCTTTGCTTTCATTATCGTTTCACGATTGTTTCCTGGCTATTATTCCTCTACCTCTAAACAGAAAGCTCTGCCCCTATGAGGCTGGTACCAGCTTCCTCTGGCCCACGCAGCTGGCACCTACTGCCTTCTAGGCTATGGTCCCCTTGGCTCCACATCTGACTCACAGTCTTTCTCTCTACCCCATGGCTTATTGTCCTGAGAGACTATGAAGCCTATGTGAGTAGGCCATCCCCGGCTTCCCGTTCATGAGCTGCTCAACCATAATGACTTCCGTTCACAGGCATAGCACTTCCATTCCTCACTCATGGCCAAGGCCAGACCATGTCATCACTGAGCTATGCTCCACTTCTGATGTCTTCAGTCTAAATATACTGTTCTTTAGGCCCATTGCCATGACTTCCACCATACCCACTCTTCGCTTGCACTCAAATCCCCTTCCCGAAGCCTCTGTGACCCTCTCCTTCCAGCCTCCTGATAGCTCCACTTCTCTCTTGACTTAGCTTAGACCAAGATCCACCACTTCCTGCAAGCAGCCACTCCCATCTTTATGGACTTCTGTATTGGATTCCATGGAGCAGTTCAAGTAAATTGGAAAACCTGCATATGCACATGCAAACACACCCACCCACCCACCCACACACACACACACACACCCTCAGAACAAAAAGCCCTCCGAAGCTTACTTCACATAAGAGTGGAAACCATATGAATTTCTTACATTCACAGAATTGTCAGGAAGGGAGGCAAATCCCAGAGGGAGGGTCTGGTGAGCTGTCTCCAGTGTTCACGTTATTGCCACATGGTGGTGCCATTCCAGCTGATAAACACGAACCCCACTGCTCTTTCCTTTCCCGGGAACTTCTCTAAGTGGTTACAATGACTCACGTGCTATTGTTTTACAAATTCTGTTGTTATAACTGAAAATATTTTCATCTCCTAAAACAATCTCTCTCTCAAGCCTTCATAAGCAGTGGTGTTCTGTGATAGTGCTGAAAACACGGCCCCCAAAACAGTCACTCTGGACCAGAAGTTAGCTGAGATAAAACACTATGATGAAGAAGGCCACATGTCTGCTAGGACGCCCTGTGTTTTTAATTTGGGAACGAGCACTCCAAAAAACTGAGAGGTGATGAAGGCAAACACTAATAAGAAGCATTAAAGCAAAGACAGACTACCGTGCTGCACAGTCTTGAGATGCCACCCAATGTCCCCTTCACGTCTTTTCTTATGAGAAGATTAGTCTTGGAGTATGAGTTTTATATCATGAGATCACTTTGGAAACACACTGACATGCAAAAGGAAGTGTGTTCTTTTTCTTTTTTTTTTTAAATAAGGGTTTGTTTTTTTTTTTTTTTTTTTTTTTTTAATTTGGCAGAGAGCACTCGAGAGAGAACATGCACAAGCAGGGGGAGCAGCAGGCGGAGAGGGAGAGGCAGGCTTCCCACCGAGCAGGGAGACTGACGTGGGATTCGATCCCAGGACCCTGGAATCATGACCTGAGCCCAAGGCAGATGCTTAACCGACTGAGCCACCCAGGCGCCCCAGAAGTGCCTTCTTAAGATACAATCGTTCCCCGATCTGTGCAAGAAATGCTGCTCTTTCCAGAGCTACATGCAGACAGGCAGTGAACGGCGTGGGGGACTCGGAGTGTGGACTATGGAACCAGACTGCCTGAGCACGAATCTCCCAGTTCCACACTTTTCTAGCTGTGTGGTTTTGGGGAAGTCATTAACCTCTCTGTGCATCTGAAAAGTTAGGGCCAAACAGTGCCTACCTGTAAGGCTCGTGCGGATGGAAGGAGTTCGTAACTAAGCCGCCTGCAGGTCCACGGAGCCCTGAGGACACACCACGTGTGGGCCAGCGGTGGCAGTCAGCATCCCCACCACCAGCGGGGCCTTCCCATCAATGCTTGATACTTACAAGACTGAATTATTTCACTGGGTCAAAAAACATACGGTGCTTCTTTATTCCCAGTATATGGCTTACTCACAGTATGCGAAAGTGTTAGTCCTTCTCTGGCAAGACTGTCAGACTCCTCTGCATCGCTGTTCTGTGTGCCAGCACGGAGGAGAGGACGAAGTGCTTAAAGAGCCTTTCCTAGCGCCAGTACTAGAAAGTGGGACGCCTCTGCCCAGCGCCTGCTCCGACACAAACGCTCAGCCCAAGCGATACCCCAGGGTGCGGTTCCTTCTCCGGTCTTACCTTCAGCCGGTCTTTGGGCAGCGCGACAGCCCCCTGCTTGATGATTTCCAGGACCCGCTCCACCGACAGCTCAGCCCCAGCCTGCAGCAGTCGTGAGCTGAAGAAGGTGATCACCTGGAACGTAAAGTGTTCGTTTCTGAACAACTAGTTGTACCAGCTGCGTTTTTAGGAGGCGCCCTGCTCCCACGGCAGTCCCACTTCCCAGGGTGACCCGGCTTGACTTCAGGAGCTCTCCTCCGCACCGTCCCGTCTGAAGGGGTTGAGGACTGCGTCAGAGCAGGCCTCGGAGCGCTCCGGGCTGATGCCCCCCACCGTGGCTGCGGCAAGCTCCCGAGCCCGGCTCTTTCTGCCTGCGGCCTCGCCCTTCCTTAGTCGGACTTTAGTGAGACGGCAGCCCTCCCCCAGAAGGTGGGAAGAGAATGCTACAGCTTAAAACCTGTCAATTTTGAAGCTTACTAGTAACTCTCAAAAAAAAAAAAAAAAAAAGGCTTAAATGAGAAAGGAATTGAAGCTAATGGTGAAAATGATGTTCAGAGGATTGTTTATAAATTTAATTTATTCACTGCACTCTTCTCCCTGAGCAACAGGGATAACGAACAGCAAGCTAGGACTTCTCGTTTCGTGCCCCAGCGCAGCCGGATGCTGGTAACACAGGTGCATTCTCAACGTAACACTGTCCTTTAATATCTGTCCCTCAAAGTGAAAAGAATGTCATTATTTTTTGAGGAAATCATTTTAAGATCATGATGTTAATAAATCAAGAAGACTATACGTCTTTTTATTCAAGAGAGTAACACTTAAGTATTTATAGTCAGACATGCAAAAATATAAAAATGTTTTGTTAAAAATTATACATTTTCCTGTATAGGTTTTCTGTTTTATATGTAAAAGACAAACACTAGTGTCAAGAGATTACCTAACTGTAAAAACAAAATAGTTTTTTAATACTCATTAAAGTATGATCATTAAAACTAATCTGGACGATTAGCTATCCTATGCCTTACTAATCCTGAAGTCTTCACATTATCAGCAGTAAACACAGTACTGGTCACAGTAAGGACATTGTTTATCACAGTAAGTCCAAATCCAGAACACAAACACGCTGCCTGGTAATTTCTGTGCATCCGGCTCTGGTGAGATGAGGCTGGTTCATTGCTGCTTCTACCCTGTAACGTAGCGTCTGTTCTAGGATGAGGGGGACATCAGCTCAGCCATTTCCTTCTTGACACATGTACTTATATTGTACTGCCTTTGATTTATGGTTCTTTTACAGGAACAATACCCACCCTCCATTTAGAGGGTTTACTTAGTTAAATCTAGGTATTATAACCATCAGTAACATACATTACAAGGACCTGTAAGTGAGTGACAGGTGAGAGCACCAGCCAAGCCTTCCAAGCTAAGAACCCCCCTCTCCTCCTGGGGATACCGCTGGCAGCTGACACGGCTGGAGCCTGGCAGGTTGTCCGTGCCAATACTAAGAATGAGGAAAACTCCATGTGTTTGTTTTTGGATGAAGAAAGGAAAGCTCTGATACTATCTTCCCATGCTTCTGCGGATGGTGGGTGCGACCTCTGGGGTGTGTGTACCCATCCACTTTGGAGATTCTGGATGGAGATAACAAAATGTGTACAATCAAAGCTAGGCAGGTGGCACAGCGTTCAAGCATGGCTACTTCAGACCGCCGTGAGAGAGTACAGACAGGTCGCATCATCAAAGCAGCAAGTAACGCAATGGAATCTACTTTGGTTCACTCTGTGGTCTACAGAGACTTGCCTCTAAGCCTCAAGGAACTCGTGTTCCCACTGGGAGAGCCATGGAGTAGGCAAGAGACTCCCTAAGTAAGTTCCTGTTTTCAAATTGGCTCTCATTTGTCTTACGTGGATATTCAGTTCTTGCATTTGGATGCACACTACTTTAAAAAATGATAAAACTACCAACTTCCAGGAGAAAAGTGAATTTATGCATCAAAAGCAAAAGGAACAGACAGCTACTGCATGTTTACTATGGCCTGAGAGCTCCTCTATTAATTAATTCTCGTCACAATCCAACAAGTTGATGAAAGCTCTGTCCTACAGACTCTACGGGATGAGAGAGCGAGTTGCTTGACCCAAGTCAACCAGGTAAGTGTCCGAAGCGGGACTGGTACTTGGATGTTCCTCCTCACTTTACCATGTTGTCTCCAGCAATTCTTGAGTAACAAAAGGCTTTGTTTTCTTCATGGAAAATATTCGAGATGAAAGGTTTAAGCTGCATAGCCCCAAATTTCATTTGGAGTCAGGCTGCACCATTAGCAAAGAATGTGAAACGAATTCATTCAGAGATACAACTTGTAATTCCTATCACCCAGTTAGAATTTTTGCAGACAACAGTGTATTTAGTGATGATGATTTTAATAGTTAGGTGGCTTTTATCTACTTTCATAGGAACCATTAAAATTGTTAAGATTGATGAACTTTTTCCCCTCTGAAAATGTTTGCAGAAGATACAGTTAATAATAGAAAAAATTGAGAGTGAAACCTTTAATGAAATGGGAATGAATGATATGTTAGTGCAATTCAAAGGCAACCTTTTCAGAGGAAGTTTCTTCTCCATGGGTGTTACACAGCTTCCCTCCACCCACCATATTTGGCCACAATTCCTGAAATCTAAGTAGAGCACATTACCTTCAATTACGCTATTAGTTGTGCACAGTAATTATCCAAGGTCATGGTCTGATTAATCAGCTGTACCCTTTGAGTAATGTCAAAATCACATTTAACAACCACTTACTATGAAACCAGTGAGTGATCACTAGAACACAGATTTATAGAAATGAGAAGTTAAAAAAAAATGAGAAGCTTTTGTAGGGTAGATGAGGGTATGTATTAGGCATTCTTGCTTGCTTAAATGGTTACTCTTCCAAGAGGTAAAAGTAGAGAGCTAAGCCATTTTCTTCTCTTCTATAAAAGATAATAAACATGTTTTTAAAAGTGAAATCCATATGTTTTCTCATTGATCCTGGGTTTTCCTCAAGTTTTTGTGTCTTTTTTTTTTTTAAAGATTTTATTTATTTATTTGACAGACAGAGATCACAAGTAGGCAGAGAGGCAGGCAGAGAGAGAGGAGGAAGCAGGCTCCCCACTGAGCAGAGAGCCCGATGTGGGGCTCGATCCCAGAACCCTGGGATCATGACCTGAGCCGAAGGCAGAGGCTTTAACCCACTGAGCCACCCAGGCGCCCAAAGTTTTTGTGTCTTAATCAATACCTGTGTTAACAACCTACTCAGTGGGAGAGATCTCCAGAAGATTTACGAAGAAAATAGACATTTTCAAGAAAGATGCAATGTAACTGGGAGGACAAGAAGCAGATTAAATAGGCATAATTAAACAGATTAGACATCATGGTACTGTGTACCACTTCACATGACTATGAAGTGCTCAAAGTCAGAGGGCGTAGTTGGGGTCCTGTCTTGATACTGACAAGCTACCTGACTTGTAGAACTCAGGGTCTAGAGCACCTACCAGGTGTCAGAGGTTTAGGTTTAATTCCCAGCTCTGCTTATGAACGTAGACAGGTTATTTAACTTTTTTATGCCTCAGTTTCCTGATCTATAAGTGAGGAAAGATAAAGAGTGCCTGCCTCATGCATGGATTACTGTTAGAATTAAATAAGTTAATACCTTCGAAGTGCAAAGAACAATGCCTGGCATATGGTAAGGGTTCATAAAAAGTCATTATCATTAGGTGTATATCTCAGTATCCTCACTTATAAAATGAAAAAGTTGCCCTACATACCACATAGGAAACACTTATAATACACGTGAAACTTAAGGATAAATCAAACCAGAACAGGAGTAGCAAGTGTGATCTATTGAAAGTAAATTCCAGGAAAGTCTGCTGGTTAGAACCAACATGATCATTATCAGCTTAATGCATTACTGAGGGTCAATTTAAAACTCTTCTTTTTTTTAAGATTTTATTTATTTGACAGAGAGAGAGGGAGAGAGAGAAAGAGAGAGAGAGAGCACCAACATGAGCAGAGGCAGAGGGAGAGGGAGAAGCAGGCTCCCCGCTGAGCAAGGAGCCCAATGTGGGGCTCCATCCCAGAACCCTGGGATCATGACCTGAGCCAAAGGCAGCCACTTAATCGACGGAGCCACTCAGGCGTCCCAAAACTCTTCTATTTTTACTTGGTGAGTTTATGTATTACCTTCCTCTTTCAAAAACAATTTGTATTTTATTATTTCCAGAAAATTTAAACAGTACAGTGTTGGGGAAGTATTCACAGTTTGCGAAGTTTTCTTTTCTCATGAAAGAATGCTGAATTTTGACAAATGTTTTTTCTGCATGTATTGGGATGATTGTCTGGTTTTTATCCTTTAGCCGTTTAATTTTGTGAATTACATCAGTCTTTGAATTCCTGGGATGCATGATAACTGAGAATGTTGCATTATTCTTCTGATAACACTGCAAGATTTGATTTGCTATTTTGCTGAGGATTTTTTGTGTTTCTATCTATGAGTGATACTGACTTGTAATTTTCTTTACTTGTAAGGTCTTTATCTACGAGTAGCATTAGGGTAATAATGTCCCCATAAAATGAGTTGGGAAGTATGTCCTCTTTTTGTATTATCTGGAGGAGTTTGTATTGAAATAATAATATTTCTTTCTTAAAAATTTGGTAGAATCCAAGGGTGAAGACATCCAGGCTCGGAGTTTTCTTTGTTGGAAAAATTTTAAATACTAATAATTCAGTATTGTTAAAGATATAGAACTATTCAGATTATCTATTTCTTCATGAGTAAGCTCTGAAAGTTTGTGCCTTTCAAGGAATCTGCCCATTTGATCTAAGTCACGAAATTTATCGCCAGAAACTTATTCATAATATTACCTTATTATCCTTTCAGTGTTCCCGCTATCATTCCTGACACTGGTAATCTGTGTTTTCTTTCTTCTTCTGGGATTAACTTTGCTACAGATTTATCAGTTTTATAGTGTTAAGGTTTTTTTCCCTCCCAAATAACCAGCTTTTGCTATCACTGATTGTCTTTTCTTTTTCAATTTCACTGATATTTTGTTCTTTTATTATTTCCTTTTTCTTGCTTTGGATTTAATTTACTCTTGGTAGTTTCT